CAGAGATCAACTGAGTGACGGGTGCTCCTCTGGGCTTGCGGGCTCCAGCGCAAAGCGCGCCAGGTACGAGGTGGGAGGTAGTCCTGATGGGGAAGGATCCGGAAGCCGCGAAATGTTACAATATAGAAGCAAACCGCAGGCGCTAAACCTGGGACGGTGCACGGGGAAAGCAGTGCGGGTACAGGGAAGGCTTGCGCAAACGCCTTGAAGCCCGGCGCACTCCTGGAACCGAGGAGAGCAGTGTGGCCAGAGGGAGATGCAAGGGAAGTGGCAGCAGTGGATGGGAGCTTGATCACCTGATTGTAGAGCTTTGAAGAACGCAGGAAGGAGTTTAGGTTTTATAATATAACCTGAGGTGCGACTTTTTGCAAATTCCGTTTATTCATTCAGTACATTTTTGCTTACTACGTACTATGTACGCGTGTAGTATTATAGGCACTGAGGATGCAGCAGTGAACAACACAGTAACCAATCTGGCAGAGCTGACTTCTGGTGGCTGAGACAGACTATAAGTAAAATACATTTCGTGGGTCATGTGATATGTGCGTGAAAAAAAAAAACAAACCAGAAAGTGGGTAAGGAGCCCTGGGGTGGGAGTGGCCAGGGATTGGGAGTGGCCAGGCCATGACTTGGGAAAGAGGAGGATGCAAGCAATGCAGATAGCGAATAGCTGGTGGAAGTAGCCTATTGTGTTCCAGAAACATCAAAAAGTCCTATGCATGGTAATTATGTAAGGTGAAAGATGTGTTTAGCTAACCTTATTGTGGTAAACATTTAGCAATATATACATGTATCAAATCACCTCATTGTACACCTTAAACTTATACAATGATGTATGTCAATTTCATCTCACTAAAACTGTGGGGAAAGGGTCCATGTGACTGGAGCAGAGTGAGGAAAGGGAAGCCTGTGGGAGATGAAGTCAGAGAAGAAAAAGCCAGGAGGTGGATGCCCTGTAGGCCATGGAAAGAATTTTGGCTTTTACCTTAAGAAAGATGGGGAACCATTGCAGGTTTGAGCAGAGAGAGACATTGACCTGTGCTTTGAAAGAACCATTGCCTGCTCTGTTGACAGCAGACTGTAGGGGTGAGAGTAGAAGCAGAAAGACCTATTAGGAAGCTCTTAGGATAATCCGGGCAAAAGATGTTAGTCGTTGGGACTAGGTGATAGTATGGCAGGGGCAAGAGGAAGAGGCTTCTGGATATAGTTTTAGAGGTGGAGGTGGCATTTGCTAATGGTTTAGATGTGAGGAGGGTACAGAAATCAGTCAGGGAGGATGTGAAATATTTGGCCTGATTGGGACTTGGGCTTTCCATCAACCAAGATGGAGAAGGCTGTGGAAAAGGCAGTTTTGGGAGGAGAAAATAAGATCTCCATTAGCCTTCAAAGCAGAGACGTGGATTGGGTAGTTCCATAAATGAGCCTGGAATCCAGAGGAGAGATGTGAGCTGTAGAGGTCAAAGTATAGATTTGTTTGTTTGTTTTTAGTAACAGCTTTATTGAGATGTGATTTACACACTATACAATTCACCTATTTAATGTGTACAATTCAATGGTTTTAGTTATATTTACAGTGTTGTGCAACCATCACTATAATCAATTTTAGAACATTTTTATAGATGGTTTTTCAAGCCATGGGACTGGATGAGAGAGGAACCTGAGGACGGAGCCCTGGGGCATTGTGTGGAGAGGTTGTGGAAATGAGTGGGGACTGGAAGCCAAGAGTAGGAAGCGTTTCAAGGAGGAGGGGGCTGTCATGAGGCAAAGGCTGCTGACAGTGCAAGTGAGATGAGGACAGACCTCATCCTGGATTTAACAGTGTGGAAATGTCCTGGACAGGAGCACTTCCAGTGGCCTGGTGGGAGTGAAGGCCAGATCAGAGAGGGTTTAAATGAGAATGAGAAGAGAGGAGGGTATAGCTCAGTGGTAGAGCACATGCTTAACATGCACCAGGTCCTGGGTTCAATCCCGAGTACCTCCATTAAAATAAACAAACAAACCTAATTCCCCACCCCCGCAAAAAAAATGAAAATGGGAGAAAAGGAACTGGAGACAGCTAGTGCAGTCTGTCAAGGAGTTTGGTTGTAAAGAGGAGCAGAGAAGTGGGGCAGTTGCTGGAGGGGGTGTCAGATCAATCAGTGAGCAGTCTGGAAGGCGAGAGGACCTGGGACCTGGGGCACAGCTTGGTCTTCCCTAAAGCATGAATTATTCATCCTCAGGAACAAGAGAGAAGGTGGAAATGAGGCAGAAGCTGGCGGGTGGGAAAGTATGGTGGGAGTTCATGGAAGTTTTCCAATTTTAAAATATTTCCTTGGTGACAAATGAAGCAAGCCAGCAGTTGCAGGTGAGGATGAGGTACTGATGATGGAGGTTTGAGGAAAGGGCTTTTGGTAGGAGACAGTCCTCCAGATGGAGTAGGAGCATGAATTTGGAGGGGCAAGGTTCTGAACTTGGCCCTCAAGGCCCTGCTCATTTTGGCCCCTATCTACCTGTCCAGCCTCTCCTCTACCCACTCTCCTCTCCGCTGATACTTTCCAGCTGCACTGGCCACCTTTGAGGTTTTATACAACCTCAGGCACTTTCCCACTTTTTCTCTCTGCCAGGGACATCTTCCCTTTGCTGGTTGAGGGGCTTGTGAGACATCTAATGGGGGAGGAGCTGAGAGACAGCACAGGGTAGGAGAGGCTGGGAGGAGGCTGGCAGGAGGGACTGGAATGGAGGAACATCTTGGGAGTCATTGGTGCTTCCCCTCATGAAGCGAAGTCGCAGCTGTCCCCAAGCATATGTTCTGGTGAGAGACTCAGGCAACACTCAAAGAAAGCAATATATGTTTGATGGAGAAAAAGCAGGTCAGGTGGCTGAGGAGGGAGTGGCCAAGAAAGGCCTTACCGAGAGCTGATATTTGGACAGAGATGTAGGGGTCAGGGTGAGCTGACAGCAGGAAAAGTGGTCCAGGCGGAGAAGGTGGCCAGGCACAGACCTTGTGGCGGGATCGTGCTTAGCACAGTGATGTATGTACAAGGATGAAGAAAGGGAAGAGGGCGAGGGTTAAGAGGACTAGGGCTTGTTGGCCACTGGCAAGACTGGTGTTCATGCCTGGTGACATGGGAGCTGTCAGGGGGTTATGAACTGAGGGCTGTGATCTGACTTGCGAGTCAGAGCCTGTGGTTGCCATGTGAAGACAGCTGTGAGGGGCAGGGGAGAAAGCCAAGACTGGGAAGGAGACTGTAACTGTCATCTCTGCCAGAGATGGGTGACCTTCTTGGGGTCCAAGAGTGGGCTGCTGATGGAGGAGGAGCCGGGAAGGAAGGAGGGAGCTGAGGAGGGTAGTGATTTCAAAAAAGGGAGGGTGTTGAAAGCTGTAGAGATACTGGAGAAGAAATCCGAGCAGCACCTGCTGGATCAGGCAAGGTGGGAGTTCTGCAGGGCTCCAGGGGAGCAACCTTAGTGGTGGAGTGGGATCATGAGAGAATAGGGCCAAGGAAGCAGTGACAGCCAAGGAGCACACCTTTCTGCTGAGTGTTGCTGAGGAGGGCGGGCATTGTGGTTGGCGGGGCTGCAAGGTCGTGTGATTTGCTTTGATGAGGGGTACACCTGCAGGGTTGTTGTGAGGTCACAGCTGGTATTGAGGACTAGGAGGCTTGCCCAACTGCTGGGGCATGGAGTGGAGTGTGCTCCCCTGGGCCTTAGGAATGGGGCCCACGGGTTCGCGTATAGCACCAGCTTGGAACCACTGTGACAGCGATTGTTTCTGTGGCTCTCAGCTCAGGCTTTTGCCCAGAGGCATGTGCTTACCCAACCAATTTGGTTTTCAGGAGGGTCTGAGCGTCCCCGAGCACGGCATGATGGGGAGGAGGCTGGGGTGCTTATCACCTTACATCAGGCCTCTTTCTTTGTCACTGGAGCTCCTCTCTGTCTTCCTGTCCCCAGCTCCCTCTGCGTTTCTTTCTCTGGCCTGGCCGTTTGGCCACCAGGTGTCGCTCCAAGAGCTGGAGTCAGTACTTGGGGGCAGGGGTGGTTTGGCCAGAGAGTATGGTGCTCTGGCCCAGGTTTGCCCAGGAGCGTGGGTCACCTGTCCCTCTCTCCAGGTTCCTCAGAATCGCTGCTGCTCTGGGGCTCAGGCATGGCCTGTGTTGTTCAGGAAACAGAGAAGTAGGCGTTGTTGGGGCCCAAACATCAAAGCAGGGTTGAAAAGGGAAAGATTAAAGAAACCTAACCTGTTGAGCAGTGACTAAGGTCGGAGAGGAGGAAGAAAGCTCATGGAAAGTGAGAAATGTGAGACTGGGAGTTGGTCGCCTGGAATGTCTGGGCTTGGAGGACAGAAGGAGAAGGGTTGGTGTGGACCTAAGAATAGCTGTCCTCGCTGAAGAAATTTGGGTTTTGTTCTGTTTTGTCGTCTCCCCTCAACTGAATTGTCTTCTCCAAGGAGAGCTGAGGAGGGTGTTTTCTGCCTCCGGAACCTGAACGACCTGTCCTAGAACAGAAGTGAAACTGCTTCCTCAGTGCCGAGGCAGCCCTCAAGGAGTCCAGAAAGTTGGTTTTGATGGTCATTTACAGAAATCTTTCCCTGAAATCCCCACAGTTTCCCTGGGAGCCTTTAGAAATATTTGAGGGGCTCTGTCTGCATGGACACAACTCAAGTTCAAGAATTTTCTTTGACATTATTAGAAAACTGGACATTGGGATTCTCATCCAAATCACAACAGATTCCTGGGGATGTGGGAGGGTGGATGGAATGGGAGGGGCTGGTCCATATGGTGCTGTGGAGGGAGTGGAAGGCCTGGGTTCCTGTATGGGTCCTTCCCTGATGTGTTCCTTTGTCCGGGAGCACCCAGGTGAGGCCTGAGTGTGGTGGCTTCTGTCTCCGGGCCCAGTGGGTATCGCTCATTTGGACTTTTTAATGGAAACTATTTAGTTCAAAACTGTCCCTAGGGCTTGAGACCTGTCTTCAGCCCAGTCTTTCTTGGCTGTGAGCTGATCCGTCTGACATCCCCCCACAGATCTCCCGATGACCGGGTGCAGCCCTGTGATCGCCATGCAGCACCTTGTGGGTGTGTCCCCCGTATTGATGCGGAGAGGCCTCCTTGGAAGGGACCTCCCTATGACCAGGACTCTCTGCAGCCCAGGCCCCAGCCAGCCCAGAGAGAAAAGACCTGAGGAGGTGGCCCTCGGGCTGTACCACCGCCTCACAGCGCTGGGAGGAGTCCTGGGGCACAGCATTCAGCAACGAGCGTCCTCCACAGCCAAGACTTGGTGGGATAGATATGAAGAGTTTGTTGGACTCAATGAAGTTCGAGAGGCCCAGGGAAACGTGACTGAGGTGAGGAGGGGACCTGTGGGGGGGGGGCCCTGCCCTCTGTTGGAAAATGTGGCCTGGAGGCTCCTGGCAAGTGAGTTACCAGCCACGGGTGCTGGGAGGCCACGTCTGGATTTGCCTTTCTTGAACTAACACCACAGTAGAGGGATTTGATGTGTTGTTCACAGGACAGCCTGGGTTTCATGCTACTGGAGTTAAGGTCTTTATGTAACTGCCCCAGCCCTCCACCTGAAAACAAGTTGCTGTGTATGCTGTGTACCAGTGAGTCCCAGGCCATTAACATCCATTCTGTTAGGCCAGCAAACACTTTGACTGTTGGGGGTTGGTGGTGAGAGTTGCCCAGAGGGTTGGTGCATAATAGCGTCCTCAAAGCCCCGTGTGTGATTAAAACATCCCTTGTGAAGGTCAAGGCCCTGGGAAACATACTGGGAGGTGGAAAGAGCTGCCTCCTGTTGTCAAGTGCTTGTGGCACCATCTCTGTTCCCACTCCTGCCTAGTCGCAGATCAGCGTAGCAGGTTGAGGGGAACCCACGGTCCAGCTGTCTTTCTCCCTTAGAGGTCAGGACTTTGGCTGAGCTGGGGTTTCTAGTCTGTAGAATGGAGGCCAATGCAGTGCCTGTCGTGACATTTGGCGTTGGTGGGAGGTGTAGATAAGGCAACACACATGAAACTGACTGAGAACATAGGGACCCTGCTGTGGTGTGTGTCAGACTAGAGTTGGTTGGGTTTGGTGGACACAGATTATATGCATCGTTAGCTATTTTCAAGTTTCTCAGAGGCATGTTATGTCCACCTGAACAGGTAAATCTGTTGATTCTGTTGGGTGTGGCCCAGGGCTGCACTTTGAGGACCACTGGGTGAGCCAGGATTATATGTCTGAGGGACTCTCTTTCCACCCTTTGCAGTGACACCCTGCTGACCTCTTCTCAGCCCAGTGTAGTTGGGACCAGAGCTGAGCCTGTGTGGGTGTGGAGAGAAGGGGCACATGGCCTCTGTTGTTCTCTCTGCAGGCAGAAAAAGTGTTCATGGTGGCTCGAGGGCTTGTCCGAGAGGCTCGGGAGGACTTGGAAGGTCAGCAGGCCAAGCTGAAGGAGGTGCGGGACCGTTTGGATCGAATCTCCAGAGATGATAACCAGTACCTGGAACTGGCTACTCTGGAGCACAGGATGCTGCAGGTGGGCACCTTGGGCGGCAGCCCTCCCTCACCCAGACGAGGACCCTAGCCTGGCAGGTCATGGAGGGGGGAGGTGGAAGTCCTGACTGGCCTGGTGGTCAGAGACCTGGTGAGAGGTAAATCAGAAGCTCCTGTGGAGGGACTGTGCCCCAGGCTTCCAGAGCCTCTCCAGTCACTTCCTCCTGGAGTACTGGGATCAGTGGTCCAGGACAGTATAACCTGGACCCCAGATTACTGACAAGGGAGCACCATGGAGGGGGCTGGCCCAGAGAGCACCAGGCACTTCCTTTCTGATAGTCACATTCTGTAGACACCCATGCACGTCCAGTCAGACCCAAGACTGCTTGGGGAGGAGGATGGTGCAACTCACCCTGATCACCTGGTCCTTTGCTCCCCCAACCTGACCAGGCTGACGCTGCCGTCACACCCTCAGCATGTTTGTGGAGTGTGTCTTCTGTGCCGGGCGTGAGGTTGCTGTATAACAGCTTTGCTTCTGCAGGAGGAGAAGAAGCTTCGCGTGACCTATCTGCGTGCCGAAGACTCTGAGCGAGAGAAGTTCTCCCTCTTCTCTGCGGCTGTGCGGGAAAGTCATGAGAAGGAGCGTGCTCGGGCCGAGAGGACCAAGAATTGGTCCCTTATCGGGTCAGTCCTGGGGGCCCTGATTGGCGTGGCTGGCTCCACCTACGTCAACCGTGTGCGGCTGCAGGAGCTGAAGTCCTTGCTTCTGGAGGCTCAGAAAGGGCCTGTGAGCCTCCAGGAGGCCATCCGAGAACAGGCATCCAGCTACTCCCTCCAGCAGAAGGACCTCCACGACCTTATGGTGGACCTGAGGGGCCTGGTGCGAGCTGGGCCTGGGCAGAGTTCTTTGTCCCAGGCAGGTACTTCCCCCACTCAAGACAGAGACGTAGATGTCCTTTCAGCTGCCTTGAAAGAGCAGCTTAGCCATTCCAAGCAGGTCCATTCATGTCTAGAGGGTTTACGAGAGCGGCTTGATGGCCTGGAAAAGACTTTGAGCCAAATGGCTGGGGTGGTTCAGCTTGCAAACGCTGCAGCACACCCAGGCCTGGAGGAGCCAGGAGACGGGGCTCTGCCCGGCTCCTTGCTGGAACGGGGGAGCATGATCTTGGCACTGTCGGACACGGAGCAGAGGCTAGAAGCCCAGGTCAACAGAAACACCATCTGTGGCACGCTGGTCACCTGTGTGACATTTGTGGCCATCCTGCCTATGCTTTACATGCTGTTCAGGGACAGCTAGCCCCTGGACCCTCCTCCAGAGGGTCTGAGGGAATAGGTACAGATGTGGATTTAGTTAGAGAATCCCAGCAATGAAGTGAGCCTTTGCGGGTGCACTCAGCCTCAGCCTGAGTCTGAGCACTGTCTGTGTGGCTCACTAGCAGACAAACTTTGCTTTTTAGGCAACAATCATTTGCATTAACTATCACAAATTTGTGCTAATGTCTAATGAAAATGTCTTCGAGTTTGTATTATTTAAAGTAACTTATCAGACTGAATTTTGTCTGTTGAAAATTGAGATTTGGGACTCGAGGGTTGGGCCTGGAAGTAGGGCAGGTCACCCCCTTTTCGTTCCCCTCTCACCACTTGATCTTGCCACTGGTCCAGGACCATTTGGATACACTTATCCCTGGAGGCCTGGATTTTTAGTTTGGAGTTCCTGGCCTGTCTTCCACTTGCCCAGCCCTCCTGTGTCAGTTGGTCCATGGGATCCAGTGAGCAAGACCCAGCCTGCTGCCTACTCATGGTGACCATGGTTACTGCCCCTCTTCTGGGTCACTTTTTCTGCCGTGTTGGGGAGAACTTCCCGGCTCTAACACTGGAGGAATGAGCAGAGGAGAGCGCAAAGAGGGATTGGGGGAACAGTTGGTAAATATTGCTGGGGACATAATTACAGGGATTGGTGGCCAATCTGGGTCCCTGGTGCAGAGAGTGTTTTGGGTAGAACCACTTGGGTGTCCTTCCAAACACAGCCTAGCGATGGCCTCCACAGGCATGGCCAGAGCTCAGCCCACCAGCAGTGTGGCCAGTGAGGCACTGATGGGGAGGGGCCTCTAAGAGGCTGAAGGTGCCATTGGTGGGGTATGGAGGCAGACTGCCCTGAGAACCCTTGACCTCTCCTTTTTCAGTGGAGAACTGCAGCCTTTGACCTCCTGGGCTAAATGGCCATGGGTGGCTTTGTGTCCTTGAATAAACAGGAGCAGGAGGAGGCACTCAGTGCTTGCGTTGTGGGTCTGGAGAACCCACCCTCCTTTCTGGGTGCACACCAAACTTGTGTGCAGGGTCTGTAGGTAGGGGCTTCTTTGGGCTGGGCTGGTTTGCCTGTGCAGAGCCGACTCAGCGGAGGCCTTTGGAGCCAGAAGTACTTCTGTGAGGTGCCTGTGCTTAAGTGGCCCCATGGATGCTACGAACCTCTAAGCTCCTGGTCCCTTGGTTATTTGGTCACTCAGTCCATGGCATTGTTTCCTTGTGTAATGATTGATTCCCCAGGAGGGCATGGGATGGAATGACCTCTGTACTTGGGATATTCACCCTCCTAATGGGTTAGGAGGTGCCCTCTCTGTGTCTAGATGAGGGGTGTTATGGGGTTTGAGTCCTAGGTAGGTCCTAAAGGGCGGGAACCTTAGTGAATGGATCTGGGGAGGGGACGATGCTAGGCACATAGAAGGGCCCTCCCACAGGGTGCACTGGCAGGAGAGACAAGGTGGGTGAGGGCCTTGGGGCACATCGGCTTGGCTGAAGTGGTGAGGGGTATGGGGAGTTGGGGAGCATAAGGTTAGAGAATGCGGTGGAGGACCCAGCGTGCCAGGTAGGCGCCAGGGGTCTCTGATGTCCAGAGGCCAGGGATGAGGGAACTGGGGCAGGGGTGCCATCCTGGGGCAGATGAGGTGCTGAGTGCCAGGACCCAGGTGCTGGAAGAGAGGGTGGAGGAAAGGGAGCAACTCGAGGAGTTGAGGAGGGAGAGTTTGGAAGGTGGAGTTGGGTATATGAGAGTGAAGGCAGACTTGATCAGGGGCAGGTGGGAAGAAGGTGCCTGTGGTTTAGCTCTTCGGCCAGTAGCCAGTGTGGATGAATCTTCTGATTGAGAATGTGGAGGCTCTGGGGGCTTCCAGGGTGATCTGTGCGTGACATACTGTGCCTCCCAGGAGGCTGTCCCCAGGGCCTTGAGCCAGAGTCCTCCAAAAATCCTAATTGGGTGAGCTAGGCTCCTGTGTTTGCCACGGGCAGGGCAGGGCTAGGCAGGGTGGGAAGGGCTTGGTAAAGGGCACACCTGGGCCTCGGGAGAGACCCCCCAGCTGTTCCTCCTTAAGGCCCAGGTATTTACTGGTGAGGGAGTCCAGACTTGCCCAAGGCTTCTCAGCTTGGGGTGGGTCCAGGTCCAGGTCTGGGAGGAAAGGAAGGAAATGTGCCCTTGCTTGTGCACTTTTTGCAGCGGAGAGCCCTCCTTTAACAGCTGGCTAGGTGTGGTATCCCCTCCACTTGGCGGTGAGCAAATGGGCGTGTGTGTTTGGGGGCAGGGGTCAAGTTACTTGGCTTAGTGATGGCGCAAACCCAGGCCCAACCCCAAAGCCTGCACTCTTCCCGCACAGCCCGAGGTGGGGGCCGGAAGGAGAGGTTGGCTGTTTGGGAGTCCTGGAGTGGGGCCGGTTGGCAGGACCGGCTGCGGTGGGAAGGAACGCGGCGCCTAGGAGTTCAGGTAAAGAAAGTTGGAGGAGGACGACCACAGGAGCAAGGTACTGGACGGGAAAGAGGGAGCTGGGGCGCTGCAGAGCGGGGGTGGTGATTAGTGAACAGGCGGGGCAGGTGAGGAGCATGGGTCCACCCGGTGCTGGCAGGCAGAGGCCCAGGAGCTGCACCACCACACCTGGGGGTGTATAAGGGGATCCCCCTCCCCCTCCAACCCCTCCCATCCTGGAAAGTTCTCGATTCCAGTTCCCGCGCGGCGCGCAGGTGAGGCTGCGGGCGGGGCGGGGCGGGGCGGGGCGGGGCTGGGTAGACCGCCCTCGGGGCTCCGCTCCTCACCCTCCTCCCGCTGCCGACTGGTTGTCTTGGCTACCGCCGCGGTGCAGCCTGCCCCCCGGCAAGGGAGGGGTCGAGT